TTATATATTGAACATTAAGAAGGATGGTTAACCACTTACGAAATCTGACTACATAATTATCTAGTTAAACAAATGGCTATTGAAAGAGGGAACTCATTAAATAAAATAAAAATCTAATCATAAAAGCAAACAGATTAACACTAAGTATCATTAAGTTAAAATGAAGGAGACGTGTGGATGGTAATCAGGTAATCCGAAAAGAAACGGCTTTCGTTAAGATAATAATAACAATTTTTATAAACTCAGGAATGAAATCTATGAATAACAGAAAAGACAGACACGGCTTAATTTCTCATTTATAAATGAATAAAGCTTCAGAAATATAAAACAGGTTTACTTGTGGTTTTAGGGTTTTCTTATGAATCTCCTAAATGATATCAATGGATGAGTCGAAACTCAAATAAAAGTATCTACCATATATCGTTGAAAAAGCACAGTAGAGGTAATGACGGTAAAATATTTCTAAAGGAACATGTGAACTTGAAAGTTAACATTTTTTTCAACTGAGTTCATCTGCACATGGGTCACAATGTTAATCTTTATACTGTTCACATGGATTGACCGTATAATGTTCTCTGATCTCGGTAATTATAAAATTAAGTCATCGAGTTCTAAGAGCATAAAACACCTGAATGCTTCTTTTCGAATCAATGAATTCTTTCTGTTAATTCAGAATCATTTTTTGATGGAGTTTTATTCTCTGAGCTGGATGGTTTGGTCGTGGAGCTTCAGGTAGAATTTTGTGCTGATGATGACGTTCAGAAGAACGATAAAAGCCCCACGACCAAACCATCTAGCTCATAGGAGAAAACTCCATCATAATCATCCACCTGAGCTACAAATCTTCTCCATCATTTCAACATTCTGAAACTTATACTTTCATGTATATTATTTTTTCATAAGTGTTTCCCTTATTAATAGTTTCAATTTTAATCGAACATGTTTTCCAAAATATTTACTTAATATATGATTAATTATTTAGTTATAAGACTAAAATCTTTTTTCATTTCGTATGAATAAACACAAATGCTGATATACTAGAATGGTTTTGGAATGGTTAAGCTTAGACATTAACACTGTTGGATGCTGGCCGGCTGAATGCTTTAGAGGCCAAGCGTTCGCGTTTGAGACTGGAGGCCGTGGGTTCGAATCCCGCGGGCGGGATTGTGGATGCGTACTGCTGAGGAGTCCCACAATAAAACGAAACGGCCTTCCAGTGCTTCCAGGTTTTCAGTAGTGGTCTAGCATCGGTCGTCTCATGATTTTAATCAAAAAAATATTTGGTTAATTTTACCATTATTGTTATTGTAGTTATCACTATTTTTTTCACTGACCTATATTCATGGATTCATTTCATAATGTTTTCAATTAACATTTCATATCATAATTGTACAGTTTCATTTGAAACTAACATGTAAGTCAGTTTAAGTAGCTTATAATCTAATGATCAAATTTCTTATTGATTGATATCATGTATCAATCAATGTTAGACCACCATTGAAAACCTAGAAGCACTGGACGGCCGTCGCATTCCGATATGGGGCTCCTTATCAGTAAGCACTCATGATCCCGCACGCGGGGCTCGAGCCAAGCGAACGCTCGACCTTTGAGCTAGATATATTTAAGTTTGTAATGTGAACTATTAGGTTAGATTTTCATGACTTTTAATTATTTGTAGTAACTTTAATAAATAATACAATTTCTATTATCAAATACTGTTTCTATAAAGTTAATCATAAATAAAATTGTAAATCTTAAATAAGAGAAATCGTTGAAAATAGGATTTTCTCCACTAAACAATCTTTAATTGCTTTTAAATACAAATATTTAAAGACTCTACAAAGGTGGCCTTCAGTTATCATATAAATCTGTAATTTGTTAAAATTTTGCAATTCCTAGAAACATGGTTTTAATAGATTACTTTCAAACCCGAGCATAGTAAGAAGCTTAAAATTTTAACAGTATATAATGTAATGCAAATTTTTAAAATTACTCTAACTTTGAGCGACGCTAAAGTGACTTTGAGAGTATCCACTTAATACTTACTTACGCCTGTTACTCCCAATGGAGCATAGGCCGCCGGCCAGCATTCTCCAACCCAGTCTGTCCTGGGCCTTCTTTTCTAGTTCCATCCAATTCTTGTTCATTTTTTTCATGTCTATTTCCATTTCTCGGCGTAATGTGTTCTTTGGTCTTCCTCTTGTCCACTTAATAACTAGGACCAAATGAGGGTTAGAAACCTATGTGAGGACTTTGAATTGTGATTTACAGTTGACGTTTAAGGCTATGAATAATATTTAGGGTTTTCATCACGAACTGGCATCAGCTACACTGCCAAAACACTATTTATCTGGATGAATGAGTGAATTTCGCGCCAAAATTCGAGGTCTGTTATTTTAAACCTGATTAGTTCGTCCATAAATTATAGTCTCTCCTGTTTATGTTCATAAACATGATATCAAAATCAATTTGATCATCATAATGAAATGTTCCAGGTCATTCGTTTACATATGGTCGTTGACTTTTTAATAAATGAATTATACTGACTTTAATGACATAAAAATCTTATCTGCTTTGTACATAATCGTTGAGAAATCCGGTTCATAACGAGATGAAACGTTGAACATAAAAAGTATTTGAAGAACGTATATTATAGACATCTGGTAATACAACTAAACGATGAATAATGAAATGAACTATATATGAACTACGGTGATTGAAATAATTTACTTAGTAAGTAATGGGTGTTTCAATCTTTATCACTACACGAATATGTAACAATACCAGATATTACAAGTTGATTCTATTTTCTAATAATTCAATTTTATTTCATTTTAGTTATTTATTACTAGTTTGAATAAATTACATAATATAAAAATTAAATAGACAAAAGAAACAATACACCAATTCAATTTTTTACCAAAAACTTTTGTTGACTAAGTTGTTCACATCAAACCTTTTGATAAATTATGTCTATCTGTTGAATAACAAACAGTACGGAAATCGAGTATTCTTCATTGACTAATCAGTATGTGTACTTGATACGATTGATCAGCTGAATAATATAAGATTCAATGACAGCACAAATAAAACATCTTAATACGTACATAATCAGAACATTTTGAGAGATAATTCCCGATGTTCTAGTGGGAAGCCAATGACCAATGAAGTTCATTCACCTGTCAAGATGGTTGCTTAGTATGATTAATTTAGGGGAGGTACATTCTCCGGGTAATTGAATTAAGAACCCATTGATGACATTGAATAGTAGTTCTGAATAATCTAATCACTGGGAAATCAGAGAATACATAAAAACGATTAATGGAACATAGTATAAGATCATTTTAGTGATCTTAAATAAACTTCATTTCACCGTAGAGATTTGTGTTAACACACATGTCGCTATTCATTTGAAATGTGCGAGTTACCATTGTCTCTTAACTTGTTTTTTTACCCTGAAATTGAAAACAAACTATATCTTCAAAGAGATGATGAATAAAATAAAATTACAAATTAAATTTTATTTTATAAGCAGAGATGGATAGTGGCTGGTAGTAGAATACAGAACACGCGTTTCGTCCTATTCGGGACACGTCATCTAGATGTACTTGCATCTCAGAGTTGATGTTCACCCTGAGAGTCGAACCCAATAACGTTCACTTTAAACGTCATCGCGCTATATACTCAGCCACTGAGTCCTCATAGCCACCTGCTTATGCAATGTGGTGAAGTTTAAATTCACTTGATATTATTAACTTAAATCTTCCGATTGTTGTTTAGCACTGCAATCGATCAGTCTCTCATTGGCATATGTGCATTCTGAGCGGACTGCCTCGATATTGCCTTAAGTCACAAGTTTTATAAGCAATAACACCTAAAAGATAATAAGTGAATTAATCAGTCAATCAAAGAGTTAAGGCTAATGCATGTAGTGCTTATTAATATACGACTAGGAAAAAAAACAATAAATTCTTCATTTCTTCATCAATACTGCTTTACTTACATCTGTTACCCCTCATAAAGAAGCACAATTCGCTCATAAGCATTCCCTATCGAACTCTATCCTGATTCAATCTTCTAATATTTTAAATTTATTGCATTTTGATTATTTACTAGTTTGAATGAATTACATATTTCACTAGTTGTAATCATGAGTCAGTTGAAGCCAAACCATCATGGAAAACCTGAAAACACTGGACGACCGTTTCATCCTATTGTGGGACCTCTCAGAACTTTACATCCACGATCCCGTCCCCCACGGGGCTTGAACCCAGGACCTACCGGTCTCGCGCACGAACGCTTTACTATTAGACCACTGAGCCGGCATCCAACGGTGTTAATGTCTATCTTTAACCAATCAACGAAAGTGCACCACCGTACATCATTGTTTTCAGTGAGCCGATATCTCACAACCGACCTCGTTGAACTCCACTGGAGGAGTCCTATACTATGAAGAAATGACCTTCCAGTGATTTCAAGTTTTCCATAGTGGTCTAACTTCAATTGACTCATGATTTCAACTAGTGAAATTTCTAAAAATCCTCACAAAACCTATTTTCTCATAAAATTATATATTATCAAAATTAACTAAACAAAAACAAAACAAACAAGACATTTTGTTTCATATACATATATTTAAAAATAATACAAACTTCCGGATAAACCAATTATCTTATCTGAATGAATAGTTATTAAAGTTTAAACGAATAGTTTGAGAGTAATTGTTTGTTTTAATTTATTAAATACTGAAATATGATTGGTGGAATATATATATATATATATATATATATATATATATATATATATATATATATATAAGACATGGAATAAATCGTAGTAGCATACTTAGAATTACATAAAATTAATAAAATACAATTATAAATAATTGAATTGAATTCATTATAGAATATATATAGATATATAGATATTCATGAAATTTTTTAAATAATATATACTACTGAAAATTATTATTATTATTATTATTATCATTTTAAATGAACATGACTAATTTCAATATTACACAAACTAATATAACTAATGAATCTATTGAATTATTACAATTATTTCATTTAGTACGAACTATATGTATGCAAGGATTAATTCCAGTTATTTGTATTATTGGTATATCAACAAATAGTTTAAATATACTTATATTAACAAGATTAAGAATGCGTTCATTAACTAATAATTATTTACTTGCTGTAGCTGTTTGTGATTTATTTTATGGAATAACATTATTATTACTTACATTAAGAACATTTGGTAAATTTGAAACATATAAATATTATATGAATTTATTACCATATATAATGGCATTTGGTAATTTATGTAGTAATACAGCATGTTGGTTAACATGTGCATTTACTGCTGAACGTTATATAGCTGTTTCATCACCAATTTTAGCTCGTAAAATATGTACCAAAGAAAATTGTAAATGGATAATACTTATTATATGTTTATTTACATTCAGTGTAACATTACCAGATTTTTTATCATATACTGTAAAATGGAGTGAAGAATATAAAACAACAAAAGAGATTCAAACAATAAATGATGATTTCAATAATATTGAAGATTTAACATTGAATAAAAATCAAACTCTTGGTATTAATAATAATAATAATAATAATAATATTAGTAATAATGAAACAACTAATCAACAATTATCTATTCGTGGATCACATTATATATTAACAGAAACAAGATTAGGTAAAATTCTAAATAAAAATGGATGGCCTATAATTATTATTATATTAGTTGTTATAGGACCATTAATTATTCTTTCAGTATTTAATGGTCTATTAATTAAATCCATTTTAAATGCATCAAAAATTCGATTAAAAATGACTAAAAAAACAAATGATGTAGTTTTACCAAAAATTCGTTATGGTATTATATGTGTTACTGAAAGTTTAACAAATTATACAAGAAATAATTCAGAACCAATAATAAACAATAATGATAGTCAAGATTGTTATTCATTAAAAAATTATCAATTCATTTGTAAATATAAACCATTACAATTAAAACAACAAAAATTATCTAAACAAAATATGATCACCGGCATGGAAATGCACGAAATAATCAATAATGATGATAATAATAATGGTAATAATAATGATAATAGTAATAATAATGATAATAATAATAATAATGGAAAGAATATAATGAGAACTGATGAACAAGATACTATACCAACTACTATATATCGTTCATATAATTCAGCACAAAAATTATTTACTATACATCAATCAAAACATAATTATTTAAATGAAAAAGATAGAATTACATTAATGTTAATATTAATTGTTGTAGCATTTTGTGTATTTACAATGCCAAGTGCAATATTACATTTAATTAAAGTATCTAATCCAAATATAAATCAATCATCAATACGTTTATATTTAATGATAGCAGGTAATTTTGTGAATTTAAGTTTAGCTATTAATTCAACATTGAATTTCTTTTTTTATTCATGGCTTAGTAGACGTTTTCGTAAAACATTTTATAATTTAATTAAATGTAATTAAAATTAATTAATTAAATTTATTAAAGTATTACATTAAAACAACTTAATATGGTATAGATACTATAAGAATGAATCTTATATTTCTGTTATTATGTATATATATTTGTGTATTTGAATGAATGATATTGTACATTAAAACAATAACAAACATGACCTATCTTCATTCATAAGATGTATCATGAAAATCAGTACTATTTTCAATAAATCTTTATATGCGTTGATTTGTTTTTATGTAATTATTATTATCAGAATGGGTTTTGTGGAGGTTTTTAGAAATTTCACTCATTGAAATCATGAGTTAATTGAAGCTAGACCAACATGGAAAACCTAGAAGCACTGGATGGCCGTTTCGTCTTAGTATGGGACTCTTCATCAGTGCGTATCCAGTGCTTCCAGGTTTTCCATAGTGGTCTAGATTCAATTAACTCATGATTTCAATGAGTGAAATTATTATTATTATTATTATTATAAATGTTATTTTCAATCCGTTCAAATTAGTTTAATATTAAAACCTAACACATATATTTAAAGCAATTAGTCCCTTTGATAAATTTCAATAGTGTAATAAGAAGACGAAGATGATCAGAACCACGTGATGATATATTTGGGCGATACATTTCGAACAATCTCATCACACATTACATACTTGTTAAAAACATTTATATATAAAAATAAAAGGTGAACTAGACTAGAAATGGAGGATAAGAGGAGACAATGATGATAATCATAAGAGTAATAATAATAATGTGAACACAATTCGAAACCTAATCGCTCTGGATAATAAATCAATATTACCAGGGTAGGTTTAAGGTAAGAACAAACTGTTATCAAAGGAGGTTTGAATTTTCGTACGTCTAAGGCTTCAATAGACTTTAATATACACCCTTTTACACATTTGTACAACACCACAAAAGCCGAGATTAGATCAGTCTTATGGCCTGTTTCGATTATATGTTTAGCAGTAGAGGATGATGGATGTTTATCCTCTGCTCTTATTAGGTCACTTGGTTGTATTTGTTTCTGCAACTATTTTGGTACATGTCTTAATTTAAGCTGGACAGACTTATTTAGCAAAATGAGATGATTTTGTCAATAAGATTACAAAATACTGCAAGCAATAATAGTAATAATGGTAGTAGTCATCGGCCAGATGATCCTCCCCCCCCCAAATAAATATGGGTTAGTGGAATGAAAAAAGGTCTTATTAGATCATTTGTAAATTCAAGATTTAAGTAAGATAATGTTGAACGCACTCGCTCTACTGTGTTATGCTGTGTTATACAAAATTTTCAATCAGTAATCGTGGTTACCTTATGGACCCTAACCAGATAGTCTGCACCTACCTTCATAGCTCAGTTCCATTGTCAGTGTCTTCACAGGCTAATGACATGTCTTACTTTGATCACCTTCAGCTTTCGTTCTACCTACTCTCACGTGAGAAAATATAGCCCATCAAGATAGATGCGGTTATGTATACGCAAAGCATGGCCTAACCATTCCAATCAATAGAAATTCACCACCTCATTAATCTATTTCCCAATCTTCAACCATACCCTGCATCTAACCACCGAATCGTAGATTTGATAGTCCTAGCATATACAAGCAGTGTTTCAAAAGCAGTTGTGATAGAAAACTAGTAATCTACGAAAATCTTTTACTTTAAAAGATCAGGTTTCACAGCCGTAAGGTAGAACCGAGTGAACCATTGTGCAGTATACTAGGCCGTTAGTTCTCAGACAGATATCTCACGTACGCTACAAGTAAAGGAACTTCGGAAAAGTCAGATGAGTATCCTGAATTCATACCAAGATTTTGTCATACACATACTTAGTTTATATAAATGTGCAATATAAGGGATACATAATGTATTTGGTTTGTTGAAATGAATAAGTTAGATAATAGAGCTGATATCAGTGCGTATTCATATTGAATGGTGTATAAATACGAATATTTTGTTGCTCATTACGGTATTGGATTTTTTCGATACTTTTTAAAGCAACTTGAGTGATATGAGTCACTTCTGAAAGGTATCGGAAGATATTAATCTCATCTTTTTCCAGCACGCTAGAAAATAGTTTGAACAAAAGCGTTTATGAAATAGTTTTGTACAAAGTTAAACGCTGCAATCGTAAATATACAAATAGAGAACAATTGGTAAAAGTCCGTATATGTTTCGCACTGCTGAGTCCCACAATGGGATGAAACGTTCGTCCAGTGCTTTCAGGTTTTCCATGGTGATCTAGTTTCAATTGATTCATGGTTTCAACTAGTGAAATTACTATCATATCCACAAAACTCCCTCCCGATATATTGGATTAGTTTAAATATATAAATCAGGATAAAAACATTGAAACATACAACAAACACTTTAGATCGATGATAAATTCCATTGTTTATAATTGTTATTAACAATACTTCCGTGTAGCGAATAAAATGATAGAATCATATTTACTCACGTTATCAATTATTGAATGTCAATCAATAAAATGTTATGGCATTTTACTAACTACTCGTACAATTCAATTAATTTATTTAATATAAAATTTCATTTCTAAACGATAATTATCTATTTAACATACTTATAATCATCTTTAGTCTCTCGAATAAATCAAAGTCTTATTATATTAGAGTTAATCTCTAAGACTCATTGATATTCATTCTAGTTTGTGAACCAGAATAGACAGATTATGATTAACAATGGAATCAATAACATGATCATCCAAACCATTACAAATTGAATTCCAGTTAATTAAAATAACTCATTTTGTCATTGAATAAAAAAATGAAGAGAACTTAGCGAAGAAAATCATTCACTTAAGCTGTTCATTTGTATTTATAACTATTTGCTAAAGACTACATCATAAAGGGATTCCAATGATGTTGTGTAATAATTAAAAGATTAGAAAACAATAGGAGGATGAGAATAATTTACTGGTCGGAATTATGAAAGTTAACTCTCCGCTTGACAGATATGAAAAGAAGCGAAAAACATAAAGTTCATAATAGTAACTGATTGCAGTTTAAAATTACAAAACAGTAATAAAAACAAAATAAGACCAAAATATACTACAGAAGAGAATTAGGGTCAGGGGAGGATGAGAGAGTGGACGTATCATTTTTACACGCAGAATTCGGGCCCAAATTGAGGTTATCTTAAATAATTTGTGATTCGTAAGATTTAATCAAAATTAAACTTTGAATAGATTGGAAGATATGATTCATGTTTCTTCTCAAATGAAGCAGATGTTTGTTGAAGTGAATTTTTATGATAAAAAACTAAATTACTTCCGCAAATCAAGGATTGATTGATGGATATCCTCTCATTAGTTTGGAAGTCGTAAGTAGTACACATTGGTTCCCATGTTGAGGACTTATCAATGGGCAACTACGTCTGACGATACCTACCATGTTTTTAGACCATACTGCTACAACAAATTTCTCAGAAATATCGGAACCGAAGGAAATATTATCGACTGTATGAGATTATTATCATACACTAAATAAACTGAATGCATTTATGGGATCACTAAAGTGTGTGAAGTGTCCAGAATTAACGTGCTTGGAACAACTTATGGGTGTGTTGTTTTGAACTTCATACGATGTTGTGAGTATGCTTTGCTGAAGAATCCTATGAAAGAGCAAAACACCATCTCGGTTCAATCTGGTTACTAATAGATGTTTACCTTGGGATGAAAACTAACTCTGGATTTAAAAATCCTCATCAACCCCCTCTATTCGGCCATCATTTATTTGATAGGTTAGGATGAATTTTATGTAAATGTCTTTGGCTAATTTCCTAGTTAAAGTGTTTTATTAAATCAGATAATAATTATTATTCAGTGTGAAACTGTCGGGTAGACAATAATTTAAAGTACACTAAATGGCTGAAAGAAATCATAAACATCCTCCGAAATATAAGTTACTATGAAATTCTCATTATCTGAAGTGGTTTTCTGTACACTAAAAAACTTAAACCAGTCAAAGAAATCTGTGAGTCAGTGGTAACAGTGAAGTGAATTCAATAATAGATGACATTAAGTAATCACGAATTGTTAGTTGGGTGACAGGTGTACTAGGGGTAATGTATGTTTCAATATAGGGATTGGTTGAAAATTTCTGAAAATAAACAGTGTAATAAAAGACATTAGAAACTAATAAAACTACGTCATGAGAAGTGTGTACCTAATCAGTATAATTATATAAATAGCGAAAAAGAGATATTAAAGATGAAAAACTACTAATAAACAAGTGTTAAAACAATCAAGGTAGTGTATGAGTCAATCATCATAATTAAAAGGATTACATAATGAATCAAAATAAGCAGAACGTACAAATTCGTGGTAAGTTGACATGAATCACCTTGTTCAGGTTATTTTTTTTCAATACATGAATATTAAAATTACTAGTGTATATAAGAGTAAAACATAATAAGATTGGAAGTAGGGGTCAAAAGAATGAATAGCAGTTTGGAATAATTGGAAAAGATACCTCAGATTCAAGTAGTTCAGTGATTCCTAGTTGGTAGTATATACTTCAAGAAGGATAACAAACTCAACTATTAATATTAACAATTGTTCACTTATATCGGTTACTTTAATAAAACGTACACAACTTGGGAATTTACACAACTGACCAGATGCAAATTTGCT